AAATCGTAATTTCATTTTAGGACTGCAAGTACTTTTTCTGGGGAGGTTGCGAAGGTAATGGAAATAATTTCGAGAAAGTAGAAGATTGCGAAGCTACCTGTGGTATTAAAAAAGGTACAACTCCCTTGTTTTGCTTTTTACTGTAGCCCCATAAGAGCACAGATTTCCAGTGAAAGAAAATCTTGTGACTACGACGCGCTCATCTGTAGAAGGCAAACGACCGCCATTCCGAACTACTCAAGGAATTCGCATTACTCCTGGTCTCGGCTTCCATAATGAGGAAACGGTTGCTACTGAAAGGTAGACGAGCTCATAATTCGAGACCTAGATGCGAACCAGCGGTACAGTCATTGTGCTTCAAATATTATGGACTAAATAGAGTGTTGATCCAATTGCGAAAAAAGAAGAAACTGATATTGGAACAGGACTTCTAGTGGCGATTTTCTTGGAATGGATAGTTTAAAGACTACAAAGTCTCCAAGCTACCATCTTCATCGCTGCAAATTCCTTCTTTTTAGCCATTAAATAAGAGATATTTGATTGATTGTAAAAATTCGGAATTAAAGTTAATGTTGAAATTTTTGTCATCCTTCTACAAACCAAGAAAGATTAAAAATGTGGAAGCAAACGAAAATCTTCAAAAACTGCTTCTACTCCAAAAATTCCAGCTCAACCCCTTCCACTACGGTTACGGCTCAAGTATCCGCGTCCGTCTCCACGGCACGAGTATCCGCGTCTGTCTCCAATCTCACGACACGAAAATCACCTTCAGTGCCAACAACCACAACTACTGAGAGCCGTCCTACCTCGGCAGAATCAGATGAAGTGACAACAGTAGCTTCCTCTGTGCATGTGGCCCCAACACGTTCTCCACCGATACCTCAGATGACACTTCTGGAAGGTAGTGAGGACAACCAAGCTGATGGCGGTAATAATGCTTTTCTTAACAAACCATAACAACTCGCACGCATGCTATTTGCGCACCTCACGCAATGGTCTGCACTGCTT